GGATCTGCTAAATGGTTCACAAGAGAAACGAGGGGGGGTGAAATCTTACACATTCTCAGCTGGTGGTGGTTTCAGATTCCAATCGATGACTCAACGCGGGAGTGGTTTGTTGATAGAATTTTATGAAACCATGGAACATTTAATATTTGGGATTGGGTCCCACCCATCTTGACTATGTTTGCCGTCTCGTGGTCTTAGGCTGTGTTTAGTTCAGCGCAAAGTTTGGATTTTGGTTGAAATTAAAGATGATGTGACTGAAAAATTGGGTGTGTATGACAGGCTGATGTGATGGAAAAAAACTGAAGTTTGGATCCAAACTTTGGATCTAAACACAGCCTTAGTACACACAGGAAAAGAAGACGCCGGGAGGAAGAAGCAGCAGCGTTGAAGCCAGCACAAAAACCACAGATCCAGAGCCCGGAGAGCAGGACAGCCTCAGCCTTCTCAGCTTCGGATCGCTATTTGCTAATCCATCGTTAACCATCTCGTAGGACGTAAGTTAATTATCCTGTGACCCTGTCCTTACCGCTCTCTCTGTGGTTGCTTCTTCGTATTGTAATTAACCTGCATCTCCGAAAAGAAACGTACATCTGCATGTGCACGACTGCATATATCTATCTGCTCTGTGTTGAGTGTTCACCGTATAAGTTTTGCTTGTCCTGTCCTGTATATATTTCATACTGATTCATACGAAATCATGTGCATTTCCTGCTTCCCCCAAATGTGGCTTTATGATTGGTAGCAAAAATATGTGTTTCCCTGTCTCATTAAGAACCAACATTTTGTTGCAATGAAAGAGACAGAGATGTCCGAGGAGGAGCACTACAACCGTCAACCGACGAGGAGTACAATAGGTCGTCGCAAGCGGTCGGATGTTTGGGATCATTTTGAGCAAAAGGCAGAGTGCAAGTGTTGCAAGGCGCTGCTCTGCGCCGACAAGAAGCACTACGAGGTTACCTGCCCCGTGAGGCATCCTAAGAGAAGGGTAATAATACAGCTAGCTGCTTACTTATAGTCTATCTATCAGCTCACTCATATAATGGTTAGCTCTTCACTATAAATATATGGTCCACATGTCTGTCTCACAGATTTTCTTGGTTCCTGTGCCTAAGCAGGCTGTAAACTTACAGCCCGCTTCTCATCTCTCTCCTCTTTTCTCTCATCCACCTCAGCATTCAGCCTTCTTATAGCCCACTATTATACTTGCTCTAACAAGGCTAGTAGGCGTGGACGAGGTAGAGAGCATCGTGGCTCGCCTGCAGCTCGATTGTCCATGGACATATGACACGGAATGGTATGCGTACTATTATGCGCTGGAAATCATTCATGATGAGTGCTCTTCTGCACCAGCAAAAATTGCAGCCTTAGCAGGAAATGTCATATTTCATGAGACACCGATTACTGACCTGCTACGCACTGCATTAGGAACATCATACAATGCCATGAGAACAATGTCAGCATGCATCAAGCTCTCCGACTTCAAACCTGTGGCTCATAGAAATGCTGAATCTGAGAAAACTGTTAGCTTCTGTATACGACTATGATTTAGGAAGGAATGAGCATACGGTTCTAAAGATGAATATGACCTAGGTGCTCTTCATTCTGCATCGAGGGAAGTGTACGAAATGTTGGAAAGTTCTTATTTGCATTGAGAGCTTTCTCATGTATGCTCCTCTCGGTGCAGATGCCATTTCTAAGGTAGGGGAAGTGTTTCGCCAGCTCTTCACGGAGTATACCAATCAGGTCATCACTGAGACAGAGAACACTAATCAAAGCAACGGTATGGAGCGAGCTAATCATGTCAACGAAATGGATGTGTCACAACAACTCGTGGAGCAGGATAATATGAACTCACAGAAAAGCTCGACAGAACTCAACGATTACCTGCAAGATGAGACGGTCCCGATGGATCAAAAGGATTTTGATATTCTTAAGTGGTGGAAGGACAACTGTCACCGGTATCCGACAGTAGCAAGAATGGCAAGGGTTTCCTGGCCATTCCAGCTTGCACTATTCCATCTCCTCAGTTGATGATCGAGATCACAAACCACCTTCGCCGTTATGTATGACACTTCTACGGTACGTATGGCTATGCATTTGCTATAGCTCAATTACCAGCTCTTATGTCACCTGAGTTTGGTTGTATCAACTCATATCATATTTTGTTTTATTTCTGAAAAGTCTACCTTTTTATGTGCTCTTTTAATTTCGTCGCATCTCATATTCTTGCATGGCTGATAATATGGATGTTAATCCCCTTATTATGTATGTTACATTCGCCTCATAAACTGCTATAGCACACGTATACTCTTCTCTCTTTATGTTGGAGACATTGCAAATATCAAAATTCACCAGTAATTTCCGAAGTAATTTATGCATACAATTCTCGTCCATGAATCAACCGAGCTACACAAATTAACAATTTAATATACGAGTATAAATCGGTGGTGAGCTTTTGGCGGAGGAGGTCCTCGGGTGGACGGTGGTGACGATGTTCGAGCGGCTTGGGACAGCAACGAAGCTTTCTCTTCTTGCAAACCCAATGGTGGCGACGACGACCTTCGGCTGCAATTGGAACGGCGGCGCGGCTCGATTGGAAGCGTAGTAGATTGGGTTCATGGTAACCGTGATAATCCGGTGGCTGCCAGGTTTTGTTTATTCGGTGCAGTCCCAATGGAGAAGATGGCGCTAAACGGCAATCCAGATTTGATGGAGGAAGGCTGTGGCTTTGGGCGGCATTGAGTGGAGCTGGGACTCCCGTCCGAGCTTGAAGTTGACACTAACATATGGGGTCCGGGCCGATATGTCAGCGGGAGGATAGAGGTGGCGCAAACAGCCTGGTGGGCTGATGGCTCGTGTCGGCTTGGGCTAGCGTGGAGGAGGGAAGCAAATTAGACTTTGTGAGAGAGGGAGAAGAGGCGGACTTACGAGCGGGACTGGGCAAGCTGGCCCAAGAGGGAGAGGAGGCAGACAAGAAAGAGAGGGAAAGGGAGATGGAAAAGGAGGAATGTGCCAAAATTGGCCGGAGCTTATGGAGGGCTTTTAATTACTTTTTCATTTAAATAATTGCTGAAATGATGATTGTATTTTTAAAATTAGCAATTGAGCTATGAAAATTCTGAACAAATTTCATGGAGTGTAATTAACCATGGAGAATTTAATAAGAATTAAATCTAGCCATGTTATACTTAGGAAATTTTATTTCCCACATTTAATTTTCTTGTAGATTAATTGAACATTAATATAAATTCTAGAAATAATTTATTAAATAATTTATAAATCCTTGAAACGAAATCAGCGTATGACAACTAGTCTATGAGTATACTGGGTAATATGATTGAAAAGCAAAGAAACTAGTGGAACCTATGTGTTTTCTTCTAGTCTAAATTAAAAATGTACATGTATCATATAGATACCTGTATGCAAACACAAAATAGTAACGAGAACTTTATCTTTTAACCTTTCCTTCAATCATAACTCCAAGATCATCAAGAAGTGTTCTTACCACATATAATCGTGGCAGCAACATTTATCAGGATGATAGAAGATATGTACTGTGCTAGATCTTGAAACTCTAGAATGATTTCTAACACTCCAAGAGATTTAGTTCGATCAGGACCGGCCCTGGGGCAGTGCGAAGTGCGACCGCACTGGGCCTCCAAAATATGTATACTATGGTACAAAGTCTGATAGACTACTTTGTGCATTGAGAAGAATACTGCTAGATGAGATTGTTATTGACACTATCATCACTGATTTTGCATCTAGAACTGTTAGAAGAAATTGTTTTAAATAATCTAGAGATATTTCTTTTTGGTATTTTAAACTTATTAGCGTGAAATTCGTCAACGACAATGAGTTTTTAAATATTATCTTGTATTTTTATGGTGAATGGGGGCCTTCATTTTTGTTTCGTACTGGGCCACCAAAAAGTCAGGGCCGGCCCTAAGTTCGATTGCAAAACCACCTATAGATCTTCCATCATCCTGACAACCTACTCAATCTGCATCAGTATAAAAGCACTTAATACTTTGTTATGGCCGGAACTTATGGTATATTATATCAGTCACCACTCACTGGAATAAGGTGAACTCAAGCAAGAAACGATCCCAACAATGGCGTGCAACCAATTCTGCCTCTTTTTTTTTTCATTGATTAATGCTTGGGAATTGCTAGTTTACTGCTTTGCACAGTGTTGGTGACCGTGGATTTCATTCACTTGGATTAAAAGAGTAACAAAAACTATGGTTAGAGTTATACTTTCATTATCTAAAAAGCTCATTCTGTGTACATATTGTAAATCGATCAGTGAAATTTGTACTCCATCTTTTGCTAGCGTCAAACCGTACTGTAATGCTTTTACCGTATAAAAAAGAGAAGGAAAAGAAAAACTTCAACAATGCAGGAAACATTACGTGTCGTGTTAAAATTCTAGGGATTCTAAAAACCATAGGTGGTTAACCTGTGCCATGAGCCAACTTGGTGTATTAGATAGTGTAATCCAAGTTTAAGCTATTGATATGTACCGGATTAAGGTGTCCTACTGCTATCTATAAAGCCCAAATAGTTTGATCAGTAATGAGAAATATAAATTGGAACCTCGTGACGGCCAGATAAAGAATATTCTGTGTTAACCAGGAAATTCTGTGTTAATAAATCTCTTTTTTTTTTGGACTCTGTTGATGCGGACATTAGTCGTGGCAACTGATAATGACACCTAAAATCCCCGGGGAAAAAAAAAGAAGATAATAACACCTAAAAGCATATTCTTGAGAATCCAAAGAGCATATTCCTGATGATCAAAAGAGCACATTAGATTATCCAAAGGGGTAATCTGCAATTAGCAAATTTCTCGATTGTCCTAATTTGCAAATCTGACCAGACGGATGCCACTTCGAGGCGTTAGGTGTGTTTCGGAACGCGCTCCTTATGCTAATTCACAAGCCAAGCATTTTGAATCCCCGCAAATTTCAGACAAGAAACAGATCAAACAACACAGCGGCCAAAACTGCTAGCCAAGCAAAACATCTTCAAAACACTTAATTTATGATTCAGACTGATACAGATCAACTTGTAAATACAGGTCTTCTATATACAAATGCTTGCTGAGGTTACAAACAGAAATACAAACTTCACGATTTGTGAATAGACTTTTCGAGCTCAGACAATACAAGTTAGAGGTGTCAGATGAAAATCGACATACGATTTTCGTCATCTTCTTCGCTCGGACTGCTCCCTCAAGAATGGATGCCTAAGCGCCTCTTGTGCTGTTAGGCGGCTAGCTGGATCATACCTTAACAGACCTTGCAAAAGGTCAATGAACTCGCCCCCAGAATGATCTACATTTTGCATCACCAGATTCTGCATGAAGAATAAAGCAATCAGATTCATGTATCAAACATAATAGACGATGAATGTATTAACTTGATATGGAAATCATACCTGAAGACGTGGCAGCTTCATAACAGCTTTCATGCTATCCCGTGACGCACAACCTTCAGGCCAGTTTAAACGGCCTTTTCTGACATATTTCTCGGAATGCCGGCTACATACAAGCAACAAATGAGCACACAATACCTACTAATCCCCAATGCTGTGAATGCTTACTGACAATGAGACGGATCAAGGACAGCAACATACTCTGCCCTTTTGAGCATGTGACATGGCAAAGGACCAAATACCCTCTCCATCATAGCAAGATGCTCCAAGTTTTCATGGGTCTGAAACAATGCTTCTCCCTGCGGTAGCTTTCGTAACTCAAAAATCCTGCTGTTGTTGTGATAGAATACAAACCAAATATTGCACCCAACAACATACCGTGCATAGCTCAACCAGTATACAACCAACACTCCATATATCACAGGGGTAACTCCATCCAAGTCCTGAACAGAACAACAGCCATTCCAATCGTAAACATAAACCATAATCACGCTGACAGGGAAGGCTTTGCACTAGGCAAGACAAATACCCAAGATAACTTCTGGAGCTCGATAATGCCTAGTAGACACCACATAGGTCTGATCCTGCTGGTCATATGTTGTGCTGCCAAAATCAATCACCTTAATAGCACTGGACTTGGGCAGCTGCTTGAAATAGGAACCTTCCTTTGGAGAACGGGATGAAACCTAGCAGAGATTGTAGAAGGATTAGAAAGATAACATAAAATTGTTGAATCATAATCAGCTAAACCGGGTAAAAAGAAGACGTTAAAAAGGCTAAAAGGTCAAATAGGTAGAAGAACAAAGTATACTTTGTAATCGGGCACTTTAATGTACTCTGGAGAAACAAGAAGAATGTTCTCAGGCTTTAAATCAGTGTGAATGAGGCGCAATTCATGCATAACTGCAACACACATTACAGAGAAGATAAATATATAAACAAACAAAGCAGGTTAGGTATTAGGTATTCCTAAAAGGATGAAGCAAAGAAAGCATCAGCTATCAACTGATGACAGCATGCAATTTATGGAAGAATAATCTAGATCTGCTAATTAGTGTGGTAATAAGAGTAACAGAAGGAACTGTGCACACACATGCTATACATTCCAACAGTTGTTTGGCAACCTCCCGAACTAGGGCAATTGGGAATGAGCGGTAACTGTTTTTCCGCAGAAAATCATATAAGCTTGGTCCAAGCTTCTCACAGACCTGCCCACCATCCATTCAAATTCACCAATGTTTAAGCTTCATGGGGTTATCTCTTTTGGTTAGTTCATAATTGCCATAATCTAATGATGTACTTACAATACAGATATGGTTACGATAGTCAAACCAGTTCCGAATTTGAACACAACTGCAAAATAGACCAGCTTATATATACAAGCAATATTGCGCAAGTAAAGCACACAGATAGATCAACAGTTACTTAAGGGAAACGGAAAAGTGAACCATAGGACTCACCTGGATCTACTTTTTTCATATTTACCAAGCTGCTCGAGCATGCCAATTTCTATCATTGCAGCATCCCTGTACTTCTTAATGCCTCTGATGATCTTAATGGCCACCATTTCTTTCCTTTCCCTATCCCAACATTCCAATACCTGACCAAAGGTACCTGATGTATATCCAAAAAGTTTCAGTTTCAATATACTCCGCTCTGTCAACAAATTCAGCATGCAAGAAACATCTCAAGTTAAGATGTTCAATTCTAACGGAGGCAGCTCTCCCAACTGACCTTCACCCATTTTTGCATTAATCCTGTCTGCAAACATTGAAAAAGTATATGTCAAAAAAGGTTCACAGCAATATTATAGGAAAAACTATACATGATACAGCTACATGTTTTAAGTTAAAATGTATTCAGTAATTACATCGTGGTGTGAGGTTGTCTCCAACAGCAAAGACAAAGTGTCCATCCTTGTCATCTTCTCTCAGAGGAGGGGAAGCAAAACGAGGGATTTCCTGGGACGAGAGACCCAGCGTCACAGCACTGATGACATTTGCAACTTCTTGCCCACATAACCCTATCTGAACCTACAAATAGTGCCCAAAATTTAATTAGATAAACTGCTGCAACTTATATTCTGCAACAAAATTCTGAATATTTGATTCACTGAACTTCTACATGTATGTATAGAAAAAAATATTGCATATAGATACAGATCCGCTAATCAACAAATAGTGCATACTATATACTATATATAATTAAACAACAAATAAATCTCAAAACAGAACATTCAATAAACAATAAGTACTAGATATAAAGAAAAGCAAGATTAACTCGCGTGACGATTTGACCTGAAACTCTAAAAATCTGTCCAATAACAGGCAGATAACATACAACAAATCGATCCATAAATCTGTGTTCATAATCAATCCAAGAGCCCATCATGCATGTATCCAAAAACCGATTAACCTCGCCCACGCCAAAACTAGCAGGAAACTAGTTCAAATAACCTCACAATCCTCCTAATCCTAGAACATAACACAGAAATCTGGTCAAACCAACCACCTAAGAGAGAGCAGGTGGCTAATTTCCACCAGATCTACTCTCGCCTCACCTACCGAGACGACCCAAATCGACATAATAACCAAGAAACACAACTCAAACCGCCGTAATAATAATAACCCGCACCAGATCAACAGATCCGCGAGGGGAAGATGGACACGAGGCGACCGGATCGGAGGCCAATACCTGGTGGATCTCGGGGCCGACGTCCCACCCCAGCCGCTGCCTCTTCCGCGGGCGGCGGTCGGCCAGCGGCGCGCGCGGCATCTCGGCCAAGCACTCCATCCCTCTCGATCTCTCTCTCTCGGCTCGGCCTCGGCGAATCGAACCAGCGGCGGCGGCGATCGGAGAATTTTTCTCTGGATTGGATGTGATTTGGGGGAGGGGGAGGGCGAACCCTAGCTGCGTTGCTTTATTGCGGGGAAGGGGGATGAGATTAGGTTTGTGGGGAATCGGAGACGGAGACACGGGCGCTGGAGTTAAGGCTGTTTGGTTACCCTGTGTCACCGACTGGTGGGCCCGAGGAGTTGTGGTGTGAACCGTGGCCCACGTGTCAGTGAGTGGGTAAGGGAAGGGTGGTGGGTGAATGTGGGGATCGGAGACGGAGAAACGGGGGCGGTGGCGTGTGGGCGGTTACGCCCTCCGTTACTGACGGTGGGACCCACGGGGTTGGGGTGGAAGCCGTGGCCCGCGTGTCAGTGAGTGGTACGGGAGGTGGTGGTAGGAGGTTTGGGTGAAGGTGGGTTGGCGTGTTCCTTTTTCTCGGGTCGTGGGCCGCTCGTTTTGTGGGGGTTGCTTTTTGGTGAGTTGATTCGAGAGAGAGCACGCGGTTTTCGCCATCGGGTTGTAGTTCTCCGATGCTCTGAGGTTTGGGCTTTGCTCGTGTTTATTTTTCATTTTGTAGTGTGTGATAGGAGTAGCAGTATAATAAATCTATAACAATCTATAAATAATATAACTACTATATGCTATATAGTTTGTATTTTATAAGAAAACAGCAATGTTAGACTAGTCAAATCAACGCTGCACAAAAGATATATTCCTCCTATTCAACTCATGCGTCCCTCTCATCTTTCATCATCGGTATCTTAGAGTATAAATTAGGGGTCCCATTAATTGTTTAAGATTTATTATTAACCATAATGGTTTATTAGTGATTACAAATTGATATGCGAGTAAAAATTTGTGTGTATATATGTTCTTCGCGACTTAATAAAACTATGTTAAAAAGGCATCAAAATCAAATTCAAAATCAAGTTTTAAAATTTAAATTTGGATTTGACTTATAAGCCATAAGGCAAACAATGAAACCCCAAAACATGATCAATTTGCTAAATTTTAAAACGTTTAAAAAAGGCGCATGGCACTAACGAAATCCATTTAAATCTCAAATATAACCACTTATACATTACATTTTAGGAAAAGGTCCAAATTACCCCCTCCCCTGCCTAAACTATTGTGACGGTACGAATTCAAAAACATCCTTCACCCTCAACATTTCGTACCAGACGAATTACCCCCGACTCACTTCAAAGTGGTTTTGGCGCACGAGGCAGTATAGTCAGCAACAAAAAACGAGTCTTACAAGGTGGATGGAGTAGTGGCTGAGGTAGAATCAACGCATCGACAGATTGGGCTCTGAGGTGGCGACAACGGCAGCGGCATCCACGACGAGGTTGATGTCATAATAAGTTGCTTGAGCTCGATGGAACCAGGAGATGGTGAAGAAAAAGAGAGAGATGATGGAACGGGAGCATGATGGAGCTAGCCAATGGCCATGGCTCCCTTCTTCTATGGGGGCGGTGATGGGGGTTCACATTGATCCAATAGTCGCGGATCCGCCACCACCAGCCTTGGGTGCGGTGGGCCTCGGCAGTGGCTACAACGACGACAGTGGCATGCTCGCATGACGACACTGAGCTCATGATGCACTCTCCTTCGCCTCCTCTCTCCCTCCACCTCTCTGTTCGCCTCCCCCTCTTCCATCTGGCACTGGATGAGCTTGATGGAACAAGGCTGAGGTTGACATGCGGTTTGAGTGAGCCGTTGACGGCAGATTGCAGTTCTTCTGAGGTGGACGAAATTTAGTCAATGGCCGGTGGATGGTGGGTGAGCAACAAGTAGAGATCGATGGTGATCGAGATGAGGTAGGGAAGAGAAGACCAAGAGAGGAAGAAGCAAAACTAACATGTGGGCTCCACCCCCACCGCTTTTTTAGTTCTTTATGCTGACTGAACTGCCACGTATGGGTCACGTAGGACCAAAACCACTCTAGAGTGATGTCATGGGGTAATCCGTCTGGTATGAAAAATCGAGTGGGTAATTCGAACTTTTTCCCAATTTTGAGTTTGATTATTCTTATCATGGGACATCTCCAAAAACTAAACTCAACTATAATATATAACTTGCTTGCAAATATCTTGCATACTCTTTATTCCACCCATGTCACTTTGTGCTCGTAAACATATAGCAATAGGAAGACATGTCATCTAAGGCTTTGTTTGATTCAGCTTAGGATTATTATAATTTGGATTATTAGGAGTAAGCTAAAACAAACAGATAGCTTATTATGATATATTATTATAATCTATAAACCAGATTACTATAATTTGGTAATCCACTCTAAAGGTGATTTTTTAGATTATTGGGTGGCTAACAACTAGCAAACAACTAATAATCCAGATAAACAAACATGTAACAACTTATTTTATGTCGGCTTATTATAATCCAGCTTATAGTAATCTAGCTCAATAATCTAGATTATAATAATGTTAAGCTGAAACAAACATGGCCTAAGTAATTGATGAATGAGAGATTACATAACAATATGACCCTTGTTCTTTTCTGTTGAGTCCTTGGGAATTTTATGAAAAGAAAAGGAAATGGTATAACTTTACACACTTCACATTGATGCTTTTATTCCTATCAAAAGCATATGTCAATCATATTGATAAACTTTGTACATATGCTGCTTATTATCATTTTGAATTTTGAATTTACTCCATACACTTATGGTTCTCCCTCCATTTATCCATGCAAAATGAGACATGAGCTAGAAAAAAAATGATGTTGAAAAAAATGCTCACAGAGGAAGGACAAAATATTCTCAAGCATGATGACAAAAACAAATTCTCTCCGTTTCTAAATATTTGACACCATTGACTTTTTAGCACATGTTTGACCGTTCGTCTTTTTTAAAAGCTTTTGTGAAATATATAAAACTATATGTCTACATAAAAATATATATAACAATGAATCAAATGATAGGAAAAAAATTAATAATTACTTAAATTTTTTGAATAAGACGAATGGTCAATCATGTTTAGAAAAGTCAACACATCAAATATTTAGAAACGGAGGGAGTAGATGAGATAGAAAGATATACATGTTCTCCAAATAAGTACTAGCTAGGCTTCATACCTCATGGTGCCACCAATTTTGGACCGTTAGGTCCCATCGAATGAACGAATGATATTTCGTATCACGAGATACCACCACTCCCTAGAAAACCTATGTTTGATGATTGCACAATTATGCAGTTGCTTTGCCTTTCAGGCTTTAAACAAAATGGTGGGCAGAGTAGTATAATTATTGTGGTGATAGAAGTGATGCAGAGATTGGCCACTTGTAGAGATGTGTCATACATACGTGTATGTACATATGTATGGTGTCCACAATCAAGTTGGGGGGAAGACTAGGCATATATTTGCTGAAAGCCTGAAAAAGCAGTTGAAAAGTGTAGTCTCCCCTGAAAAGAAAAATAAATGCAAAATGCAATTCTCAATGAAGAAGATAGATTATTTTAGTGCACATTTGGATGGATGTGGGCCGTTGAACACATAAGATCTAACGATAGAAATTTGTTGCTACTGCATCTAGTATCGGGGTGTAGTAGTGTAGGGTCGGTATTTGTTATGACTACAGAATAATATGCAAGCGCACAAATACCGTTGTAGCCATTACCTAAGAGTATTCCAGGGTATCGTATCCACAGGGAACGTGTCTGTACAATCTAAGAATGTGATTCATCCAAGAACAACACCTAAATGGTAGGCTGAGGATAGATAGGATTCCAATGGGTTAATTATCTTAATTAAGGTAAAACTCTATCAATTGCTTTAGGCACCGGCTTACCCCAGGTTTGCTAAGGAGCCTCCGGCGAACGTGGAGGATTACGAAGGACGGACATGACTGTCATCACTAGCCGCCTACCTCTGCGACCCGTGGAGCACACAACAAATAAAGGTAACCTATAGCCTAGACACCACATCAATGCTATTAATTACTACCCTAATCTCGGATCCACATAGAAGATTAAAGTACTCTACCTAAGCAGAGTGATGAACCGCAACGATGAGAATATATTTTACTCAAATAAGAAAAATAAATACCTAATGAGATTATGAATACTTATAAAAGAAGCATTCGTCAAGGTACAAGATCAGGGAGAGTGTCGGCATCTCCGGCACTCATATGAAACCCCAGAGAGAACTCCGACATTTGATGCACTCCTTTTGGAGCTTTCTCTCACTTTCTTCCAACCCTACTAGAGCAATGGCTAAGTGTATAAGTGAGTTGTACTCAACTTGTTGGTGTAAAATGGAAGAGAGTTGTACTCCACTTGCGTGGGGGAGTGGGTTTCCGAAATTTGGGAAATTTTGAACTGAAATTGTATTCACTTTCTTCGACAACCATGAAACCTGAGCCATTTGGTTCTTCGTAAAGATCAATGGAGAAGCGTGGACATACGCAATGGCAGGTGCAAAGCACCTCCTCAAGATGACCTCACATTTGTAATCGTTTTTCCTTTTCCCTAGGGCCTGTAATTTTTTCCCTCTGTATCAACCGAATGGGCATAGTTTGTACCGATTTATTAAAAGAAATAGAGAATTTCTTGTTGATTTACATGATATGTTTCATGAATCCTAACATGGACATAGCCAGCACCTGTCGTGGTGATGATCCTAGCTAGCTAGTTAGCTGGCTGGCAAGCCTGGCATGCATCACCTTGTACCACTAGAAAAAACTCCAAGAGGTGGCAAAGTGTGGACCCCCGTTTTCATAACAGGAATCAATCGTGTAAACAGTACCATTTCCCTGGATCAAGTAGTCTGGTACACACGAGTTCATAGCTGAAATACCAAATGCTCATACACAAGAGTCTAGTACGAATTATTACAACATAAGCCCGCAGACATTGTCTTAAATCATCGGACTGAGCGGTTCGGAATACAACCAAAAGCAGAATTAGATAAGGCAGCGGAATTTAGGCAGCGGCATGCCATTGCTACAGGCAACGACCGTACTAAGACCTATTGGGCACCATCGTCTTCATCTCCCTCCTGGTAGTAGGCATAGGGATCCTCCGAAGCTTCATCTCCCGCTTCTGATTAATTTTATATTTGCAAGGGTGAATACCAACCGT